TCTGGTTGGACCCCCATCCGCATCTATCACAGCCTGACATCTTGCTGACATACTCTCAATTAGTCTCACAAGATCTTCGGGAGACACGGAAACCCATGTCTCCTTTATGATATTGCGAAGACTATCTGAAGTACGCTGCTTTACGCCACCCAGATTCGGATGATGACGCTGGATATAATCCTTCATCCAATTCCAAATAGTTTCAATCGGGTTAAGATCAGGCGATTGGCCGGCCAGAAAATCGGTTGAGTGAGCCTCTGGCTCATATCTTCCATAATACTTGCTGCTGCGCGAGCGGGAGCATTATCCTGCATTACGGAAAGCCAAGGTCTCATCGACACTATGCCATTGATAAGGGGATCTATTTTCTCGGAGTATTTTTCAGAGATGATAGGGGGGCTATTCTCAACACCTGTCAGTGGTGTCCCCTACGAACCTCCAGCTCTCATCGTAGAGTCTGCAGAGCCGAGATTGAGTAGTAACAAAGTCCTCACTTCGATGGGGATTCCCAATTGCTTTCGCGGTCTATATCGTCTTCGTCTCCCCATACAATTCCCTATCACCATTCTCATGAAGATAGCCACGATCAGATCAGATAGCAGGGTCGAAGCCCATTTAATCATCAACGCTTAACCATAGAGGAAAAGCCATCCGATGAGTTTCCAGAGCGTGCCCAGCACCCGATACGGAGATGATGGATTGGATCAAGTCGGCCTCGACTGTTACGAAGAAAGAAGATATAGATGAATATGCGCACCTCGTGTGGTCCCGGTGTCTAGGCCTCACCTGGCTGGGGCTGCAGGTTTTTTGAGACTTTTTCCCACGCACGCAGTTCCCATTGCAACCTTTTTTTTTTTTTTTTTTTTTGGGTATAAGGTTCCGTAGAAAAGGTGGCCAAATCAACAGGTAAACACTGAGCTGAATGGCTATTCATCACGGGCAATATATCAATGATCTTTAAAGAAGCATGAGAGGCAAGGAGCACTACTGACAAGGTGTGGCCTGGGTCAGAGAGGAGCCCAACGTGCTAGATAGTCATAGACTCAAGTAGTACAATAAACATCACTCACTCACTCACTTTCAGAGATAATAATCCACCACTCCCTCTCCCAAAATAAACTGGTTCCTTTTTCTGGCCCCTGCGAAGCAACCCCAGAACATCTAGCCGACCCTTTTCGAATTTTCTCCAACAGACTCATCGTTGTATTCTTGGGAAGTCTGGCTCATAATGTTAGATTATATTAAAATATATTATTCACTACTTAATTCGTGGATTTGTTGGTTGGGGGAAGCTTATGCAATAATGAAGGATAAAAGGATGTCAATTCAACTCCTCTTCTAAACACAGGTACCAGACTCCTTTTAATCCAAATAGATAGCCCGTGCAGGTTCTCACATTAACCGCAGTAAACAACGCTAACACTGGGTAAACGCAATCTCCGTTCGCCAAACACCAGTCGGTCAGGACTACTTTTTATCGAGCCTAGTAGGATCGATAAAGTGTATCCCAACACGGAAATAATAGAAAATTCAAAAACCAAACCTATTATCAATAACTTTCATTAAACATCACCTGAATTATTTCTGTACTCCATATTTTCAACAAAGAATCAAGTTACTGTCTTCTTAAAGAGACATATACGAACGCTTCTTGTCACCAATACTCAAGAATTTCTTCTACCTCTACTCAAGCGTCGTCTGTCTGTAAACTGACGTCCAGTCTTCATTTTTCCAATTGTGATGAGCTTCAGCCCATTCTGTGCGTGTCTTCGTAGTTTTTTGAGATTCTGAAGGCTTTAGATGACATACATGTTGTCGGTATCCTCTTTTTTCAAATACCATTTGTATTACCCGCTCACTGATAGTAAGATATCTTAAGGGGCCAGAGGCAATTTCTAGAGATGTTTTGCGGTAGTTTTCAGGTGTAGGCTCAACACAATATATAATCTGTCTAACATCATCTGCTTTCAGGCTTGAGGATGTTCTTTTTCTGTTTTAGGGGGAGATTGTTTCGCGGCGCAGTGAATAACTAACTTTTTCCTGAGAAATGACTAGTGCGCGGCAATCGGCGTCTGATTTTTTCCAGCATCATGGAGCCCCTACATCTGTAGATCTTCTTTCATTTCCATTCGATAATACTTGATTTTTCGACTTGCTGGGATTTTTTGATCTCTGGATAATTGTTTAAATCGAGGTGTTGAAGGTATGGTTTGAGGTAGATTAATCTGCAAAATAAGGTTAGTATCGAGTGAAGCCATTTTCCTGCTGAATAAACAATTCTGTATTTTAAGAAATCTAATTCGTGTTATTAGTCGTGCACAAAATGAGAAGTGCCATGTAATTTTTAAGCGGTCGGCGGGTGGAGGAGCGATGGAAAAGAGCTAGAAGGATGATTGGTCTCACATTGAGCTGAGAGTGACATGAAATCAAATTTTGCCCTTAGTTTAGGCCTTGAAGCCCAGGACAATAATTATGTACCCTGTCGAATACGGCGTAAACAGGGGTATAAGCCCTGAAGCGAATATGCGCTCCATTTAAATCCACTGAAAACTTGAAATCGTGGCCCCACAGTAGGTGACATACTCCAAAATTAGAGTCCTCCACTCAGACCACTTCCAAAACCTCCACGGCCACACATCTATCGAATATTCTCTTGCTGGCTTTGGTTCCCCACGAAACATGCATACACATTATTTTAAGTTTAGCGTCCTTTGATAATCCTCCGTTGAAAATAGTAATACGTGAAAGGGCCACGGGCCTTTTGTGGCTTTTTTCGGCAAAAGTGGGGACTTAGAAATCGTTTATTTTTTTGCATCAGATTTTAATTGCATATGCAGCTATCTAGCTACGACACAGTATCAAAGAAAAGCACATAATAGATGACTCAATTTCAAGGAAGGGCACTCATGCCTCGGATTTCACTTGCAAGTACAGCTGTGAAGTTATGGCGGCTTTTTCTTCACCCCAAGTCAACCCTCATCCGTGAATACCCACCCGGGGGAACGTCTCAAAAACCCTGAGTTATCCAGACATGCCTCCATCATCCATCAACTTTTATCCGCGCGAAATATGGTCTGAGGCGTCTCCTTCCCAAGTGGAGTAGGTGCCCAGGCTACTCAAACCATACCGGAGAATACCACAAGGAGGCGGACCACAACACCTTCCATCGTTTTCTTGTGTTTATAATGTCAGCTGCACTCTCGCGAGCGAAGTCTTGGCGCGGACAAAGCTAAATTCGTAAAACTCTTGCCAAAATTCAAAATGACACGCCCATCGAGTTTGTATCCTTCCTTTGCATCATCTTGTGAACTTATCCTGATCCCTCTCACGTCCATCCCAAAGAACTATCTCCCAGATTTGTGCGCCACGCTTTGCTTCCTCCGTCGGGTATAAATATCAGCGTGGGCGTGCATTTGGCGGTCAACTGAGGCCAGAGAAGGTCGAAGAGTGGTGTGGTCATCGGGATGAGGATGTTCTAGGTCGTACTTGTAGACTTGATGAGACGAAGATAGGAGTCAAACTCTCTGGGAGCGAAATAACGACGTGGAGGAGTAATTTGGATTTTTGCCTCGTGGGCCAACTTCTTTGATGTAGCGAAAGTTGACTGAACTTGGCTCTGGGAGAATATTTCACTCCCAGGTTCGTAGAGGACACCGTGTACAGGTGTTCAGTCTTGCCCTCCAGGCTCTGGTTCAAGAATGTCTCGCCATGACATCTGATCCCTCTCACGTCCATCCCAAAGAACTGTCTCCAAAATTTGTGCGCCACGCTTTGCTTCCTCCGTCGGGTGTAAATATCGGCGTGGACGTGTATTGGTGACCAGCTGAGGCCAGAGAAAGTCGACAAGAGGTGTTGTCATTGGAATGAGGATGTACTTTGTCGTACTTGTGGACTTGATGAGACCTAGATATGAGGCGAACACTTTTGGAGTGAAAAGTTGACTCGGTGGAGTAAATTGAATCATTGCCTCGTCGGCCAACTTTTTTGGTGATGCAAGATTTGACTCAACTTAGTTCCACGGGAATATTTAACTCCAAGTTTGGTAGATTACAACACCAATAAGTCTTTAACCTTTGTCCTCCCTTGCGTGCATTCGCCGCTGACGAGAATGTTTGACCCCGTGACGATGCACGTGCAACTAAGTTGTTCGGATTCACACCTCTACCACTCAAATAGTCTGAATAATATGTTTGTGTAAATTTTTCCAAAAGACCACCCAAATATTAATATCTTTATACTTAGAGAAAAAATGTCTCTTCAAATGACTAGATGTATTTCCAGCTGTAAAGCTACTCATCCTGCCGGATTTCAAAGTTGAAAGAGAACAACACTCCAGCATCCCTTAATATATCTGACGACAAACATTTGGACGCCTTCCCAGTAACAGGAATACTTATGCGAGATTTTTATCCCATGAAAGTTTCATGCTGTGACCAAACTGTAATTTGGTAGTTTCCTTCTGGGATCTCAATTTGTCTTTCTATGTCCTGCATTCCAACCGGCCGCACTCGGACTGTCATGCCTGCTCACAGGAACAATACTAAGCAAGACAATATTAAGAGTTCCCCTCACCACCACAACCGATCTCTATTGTTTGTCAAAATGCATCAGATCTAACCACACTCATATTATAGTCCACACTGTATCATGTCCTACGATCCCGCGCTACAATAATATGATAACTCTCTTTTTTCGATATGATTGCTGTCAAGACAGGCTTCTTTCACTCACTATTCGTTTGAATATCTTGCATCATGTGCCTCCTAGTATTGTTTCCATTCCTCCGATACCCTGGGTCACAGTCAAGTAAAGAAAATACTTTACTTAACTGGGATCAGACATGAGCATCCCTAAACTTATGGATATTTCCTTCTTACTCTGAGCCTTTTCGTCTCCAACTTCAATTGTTGTCTAAAAGGATAGAATTTTTGTCGGCCTTCTTCACTTAAATATTGATACTGAAAATACTTTACGGCTAATGATCACGAAAATTTTTCGATATGTCTTCACAGGCTCAAATTTTTGACTACAAAATACAAGGAATGAGTTTTGTTATGGCCGATGGCACTACCCCCGTGATGTTTAATCTCAATGATATCGAAGTTTGGAGCCTATATAATATCAACGCATCCATCAGTTACGGTGTTCAGGCCGGTGCATGTGGTCTCTTGTTCATCACCACAGCTATACTCACAAGAAATAATAAAAGAGGCACGCCAGTTCATATTCTCAACCTACTTTCTCTACTTTTTGGATTTATACGAGCCTTCTTACAGGCCCTCTACTTTACTAGTAGCTGGAATGAATTTTACACTTACTTTTCAGGGGAATTCAGCCAAATATCGACCCAAGACTACCTGATAAGCATCCTATCTACAATAAGCCAACTTTTTTTTGCCGCTTCTGTTACCTGCTCTCTTTTGCTTCAAGCACACATAGTTACAAAACTTTTATCTCGCATATGGCACCTTGTTATCACTAGTCTATCTATCTTAGTGCTTCTACTTGGAGTCGGATTTCGGTTCGCTAACGCTGTCTTGAATTGTATTGCAATCATCAATAAAAAATCATACTATTCTTTTCACTGGCTGGAAGTCTTGGTCTTAGCAACTGAAACTCTAACGATCTGGTTTTTTAGCTTTATCTTTACAGGAAAACTATTTTACACAATTTGGTCACGGAAGAAATTAGGCTTAAATAGATGGGGCTACTTTCAGATACTAAGTATCATGGGTACTTGTACAATGATAATACCTTGTTAGTAATTTTCATCGTAACTCTTGGCGCTAACTGACTATTGTAAGCTATTTTTGCTATTCTTGATTACGTTGACTTCCCAACATTCCCATCGATTGGTGCATGGCCTCTTACAATTGTGGCACTGCTACTACCACTTTCCTCTTTATGGGCATCTACTGTTATCAATGAACCATCATCAAATCTTGGAATTGCTGAACTTTTGACTGGGAAGCCTTGCACAATTTGCAAGAGCTGTGCATGTGGACCTCTTGAAGCTTCATCAACTGCATCAAGGCTAAATTCTATCTCTAACAGAGCCAGTGCCAATACAGTTGGGACTAGTCGTAGCGCTACTTCCAATTCCCAAACCATAGGCGTTAGAGATAGCCTTGAAGGCGATCTACGACGAATGGGCATTAATAGTTAAATTCAGTTGTCAATCTCATTCATTGCTTAAATAAAATATTCATAATAGAGTTGTGCTCGATTTGATGAAGAATTTGTATACCATTTTCACAGTGAACTGATGCGGGGCAAAGTCAAAAGATATATGACTTGGAATTTTTCAGTACTAGAACCACATGTTAGTGATATTTCCCGAGATATCGATGCAAGCCCAATTTTTTCCTAATTTTTAAATCCAGGCGTAGGGTCCACTCGATAGTACCAAGAGATATACGTCTTGTACCCAAAGATCAAAAAGCATATGGGGACTTACGAATTTTAACAGCAGTCAATATCTCTAGTAGCAATTTTTTGATTCCAAGCTACTCAGTAGTTCAAATCCTGGATACAGCTCATCCTATTCGCAGCATCCCGTGAAACACGGCAAAAATAAGAATCAATTTTTACATTAAAGGAACTAAGAATTTAAGAATTTAGATCATTGATAACGCGAAGAAATGATCTCAACGCTTCAGTTACTGTTTTAGAGCCATGTGACTTACGCCACTAGCTCTCGTATAAATATGAAGCGCAGGAGTACGACTTCCTCAAGATGTTAACCAAGGATGTAAGTCATGTTGTTTCCCAAACAACGCTTCTTAATTCGGAGGAAGGTCATTCCCAATGCATGAGACATGCTGCCCTATGAACAAGAATTATATTTATCCTTATCATGTAGAGACTACAGATTATCTAAACTTTTAGAAACCATCCAAGTGTCGTTAATTATTGGTAGAAGCCCTCAAGTGACGATTTAGCTTTTAACTTCATTCTTAGTTGCGAAATTTTGGCCAAGCACATGCAGTATGTCCTATAAAGATAATGAAGAGCAAAATGTAGCGTCGTGGCAATTTACACAGTTACGTCAGCCTCAATATGTAACCCGCGATTTGTCTGAGCAATTGGCTTATACAGAAAGCCGCTCCTCGACATCAGATACGCGTGGCGGAAAATCACACAGAATATTGTCACTAATTCACAAGTTTGAGGCCTCTAGCGCACCAGCAGCGAGTCTCTTTTCGACCGGACTTATTCGAGCAGAACATAGGTCAGATAGGAACACCAACAGCGCACAGTCACTGCCCATTTCAGAAATTCCCATTGCATGCCAAAAATGGGTTCTCCCAGTTGCTTCCGCGTACAAAAATGAGGAGGTTAATTCGTCCGGGACGTTACATCGACAGTACAGAGGTTGCACCCGCCAGACTTACCATCGGAAGTCGCAACGATCAAGTTCCCTCACTGGAGCCTACAGTATTGGATCCCACGCCACAGATACTATACATGACCATATTATCTTTAGAGAAGCAAGTAGTCTCACGGCACCATATGTGCAGAATAAAGTTCCTCAGATGAGAACGGGTGGGTCCATTCGTGATAAGGTTAGGTTTTATAATGACACGACAAATGCGCGGTCAGGCTCGAAAATCATACCTACTGATGAATGGTGTCATTCGGGGCATTCTATGGGGCATTATCTCCATGATTCTTCGATAGTAATTCGTCCAGATCGACAGCAAAATACTTTACAAAAATCTAGTGTCACTGGTACCCATGCTAGAGTAAAAGACGCAACCTCGCAAATTCCGGCATTGGAAACTCCGACGGGTGAGAATACGCGCCGGGACACTCTACATACACCTCATCTACAGTCTAAATTCAAGGCGCTTGGGAAAATAAATGTAATTCAACCACCTCTTGAGCTTCAGGAGCCCCTAATATCACCGCAATCAGCGTCAGTGGTAGCCAAAGCAACAGGGAAGGATGTGGTGGTGTTCACACCAGAAAAATTAGCTTACATCTCCGGCAGAACAACTCGGTTAGCTCTCCTAAATGAAGCTGATAACTATGATCGTACATGGAGTAGAAGACGAGATATTAGATCACGCTCACGAAACTCACTCTCTGTTAATGATACTACTTACATTGAGTCAATTAACGATGCCAACACTATGTCTAAGGGGATCTTAACAAGTCGTACAAAACAGAGACAGGTTCTGGGCGCTCCCGTATCTTTTGGATCGTGGCAGATGAACCAGGGGCAAATAAAATCCGAAAAGGTACCATCTACAAAAATTCTACTGACAGGGAGGCAATCTAAGGTAGCGACCATTCGACAAAAATTTGAAAAGGGCCCCTCATTCACGGTCGAACTACTTGCCGAACCTAAAAAACATGTATCTCCGATCGCTTCGCCTTCCCTTAAAGTCAAAAAGCTCCCTGGTGTGGACCCTCCACATATACCCGCACTAGTTTTAGCATCAACCTTTTTGCCTACTTCAAGATCAGAGCCTACATCACGGAAGACTGTCAAAAATTTTATACCGCTTTCTGGACCCCCACTAGCTATCAAGAAAACGGATGAGTACAGAGTGATTGAGTCGGCGTTACCAAAGACCCAAGTGGCAAATATACACCCCAAAAGCACACATCTTTTGCCAACTGCTTCGACACTTGAGGTGTCAGATCTACTTGTACCTCACAAAACGCCTGTCTCACGAGCAAAAGTAAATCGCGTTGGAGACAAAGTCAAAAAGTTTGAAGAAATTCAGTGCTCCGAGGCAAATTCAAATACGATAAATAAGACTGGGAGAGTAAAAGTGGAGAACCCCATTAATTGTGAGAGTTCGACCCTGCAAAATGTCGATGGGAGCATGAGTGAAAAAGATAGTCTTTCTGGGATCGAAGAGTCAGAAAATTGGCTGATTCGAAGAGTTGAATGTGCACTAAAGCAGCCTAAGCCACTTAGGGTTGTTGAGATGAAGCGCATGATGCATCTATGCAGGGGTATGATTGGTGGTGGCATGAGAAGGATGAGGAATAGTTTACCTGGATAAAAAGTGACCTCAATACGTATCATTTTCAATCAACTTTTTGAAAATTTCCAGCTGAGACGCGAAGATCTTCTGAGTAGGGCAGAATTTTGATGTATGCTCATCTGATACTGTGTGACATTCAAATCACCTATAATAAGCAGTCTTAATGTTGCTTCACCAATGATTAGTAACTTGTCAGGCCCATACCATGTCCGATCTTGCGCACGAGCGCTTTCTTCAAATACCATTCTCTTGCGAGGGTCCTCGTCATTTTGGCAAAAACTGCTGCGCTAATACGGCCTCGTTCGACGGCTCTTCCAAGAACGAATAAGGCATCGCCGAGGCTTCGTTCATCACTGACTAAATTATAAAGTTGGTTGGCTACGACAGTGGGGGCTACAAGTAGCTCGTCAATGCTCGGAAAAGTACGGTGCTTGCTCGATTTAATCACAACTTCAGCGTCATAGAGGGCGCCATGGAGGATTTTTGTATTTGTTGCGAGAAGATCATTGAGCGACCCGAGATTTTGCATCTCAGATTCAATTTCTGCTAATCTAGTGAGCATAGACTTATGTTGTGCCTCTATCCTTGCGAGGCTAGAGGTTGTCTGTGCTCTTTGAATTTTTCGCCGAGAATAGAGAGCGTGTCCAATTTTTTGTATTAACAAATCTTTTTCTGGATTGTGGGGGACAGGAGGTGCAGGTAAATCAACATTTGAGGCTTGAGAATTTGCGGGATCAAGAGGCGTTGATAAGAGATCAAGGGGTGGTTGAGGAGACAGAGAATTGGATTGCCTTGTATACACACATTGTTGTTGGATGTACTGTTGAGGTTCATTATTATGCCGCGAGCTTGACAGGCTTGGTTTTAGTAAATCTGGCTTGTGATCTGGTCTGAATTCATTGCCTTCGGCCGAAATTGAACTGATTTTTTGACATGTCTGTTCAGATAAAGCCGGTGACTTTATTGGATATGATGAGCGTGCTGGTGGTGGTGGACGAGCTGGAAGTCCTTGGTGAAGGCTGCTCTCTCTGAATGGTAGGTGGTACTCTTTATCTCGAGACAATTCGGTTCTGTGATTAATTGAGCTGCCTTCACGTCTCTCAGATATTCCAGGAAGTGGTGGCAGCGGAGACCCTGTAGATGCTCGTGCTAACGACCCGAAAAGCGAGTTTGGCTGGTCAGTGTTGCTTGTCTTTGGCTTAGGGGGGGGTGGGGGTGGCACTTCTTTATCGCTCAGCTGAGGTGTCTGCGACAAAATCTTCGTACTCACGGGGGCTGAAGACGATGAGACAGGTGGTGAATGAAGCGATTTAGTGTTCGGCGGTCGTAAAACGACAGGTGGTTCCTTTGCGAATATATTTCGCAATATTTCTAGAAATTCCAGGATGTTGCATTCCTGTGGTAAAATAGCCATAAGTTAGCATATTGTCATTAATCTCGGAAATATATCGGCCCTTACGTCCCAGTTTTCCGCCCATCGAACCAAGTAGGGGTGATATATTTTGCCTTGCAGGTCTACATGTTGACCAGGTCTTATCATCAGATTCTCAGCCGAAGTCACGTACACTATCGGTGCATCTTTTGGATATGAGTGCGGGATCCATAGCTCTATTGGAAATCGATAGGTTATTTCCCGAAATACAACGGGTAGTGTGCCGAATATGTGAAGTAGAAGTGCCGCGGATCCATTTTCATACGCTTCAAGGGAGTTGATTAGCTTCTGGCTCACATATTATGTGGTAAGTGATGCCTACTGTAAACATCAGTTTTCGGAGACAACGAATAGTAGTAAGAAAGGGTTTGAGCCACATCCTTGTAGGTGCGATTCACATCTTTATATTCCTATGCTTCAAATTAGCAAATATTACTTGTGCTAGCTTGATCGTACGGAAGCGATACACTGGTGAGAACACTGTACAGCCAGTTCAGGACCTGCTGCTGGACTGCAGCCATTATAGTGATGTGTAGCTCTGCGATCAACCCCTCCAATATGACACATCGGTACAAGGACGCCGGAACGGTGGAACAATAATCCGTAGCAAATTTACCGGTGTAGCATTCTTCCGCAAGAAGGCCAGCCATGTAGGAAGTGTAACCCCTCTTCGACGTGATTCGGCCTACACTTGACCGAAAACGCGCGACCCTTCGATCCTAAGTTATCTTTCAGAATCTATGTGAGATACAGACACACGTCCGATGGTGCTCTGGATATACTTGAATCCCTAGAAATGAAGCAGCAGATTCTCTATCCAAGTAAGCCTGTAGAATGACTTCGCTATTCATACATTTAACCATGGCAAGGGCAAAAAGTAAAATTCCTCAGGTACATGAGGCTTTCACTGACGCTATCTGGGCTCAGGAAGCATCCTCTAGATCTAAGGAACTAGGTATCGGTCCCAGTTTAGGAATAATTCCAGAACTGAAAGGTTTAAACCTATGCGCATGTGTAGCGTTTGTTGCAGCTCGTTCTAGAAACGGGGATTTCGCTGCAGGGTTTGAAGAAGTCGGGCCCACCCCGTCCACCATTGAGTACTCGGCACGCCCAAAGGCGCCCTCGCCTTCATAAAATGGGTCGATCAGACTGAGCTCTACGAAGAAGTCCAACGAGCCCACCAGATAACAGTGAATGGTGATGGTGTATACGGTATTATAAACTTGGAATCTTTAATTAGATATTTGGTAATATTCAGGGGGATAAGGATATGTTTGGGTGGTTGTGGCAGTAAGTTGTGTAGGATACCAATGTAATTTTATAGGGTGGTCTTATTGTGTGATCATAATCCACAAAGTTTTAGTTATATGATATTAGATTAGATTAGATTATTATTGTAGTCCTACTTGAGTCTATGACTATTAGTTATATTGTCGGTTTATCTAAAACGTAAAAGTTGATTTGTCATCATATGGGGATCACATGATGACCTCAGCACAGATGCGCTAGTCAGAATCCACTGTAAAGCTGTGCACGACTGCAAGGTGGACCTCGACATCCCAACCCTGGAATACCCTGGGCTCTAAGCTCTCCAGAAGGGGCTATCGCCTTCAGCAAGTGGGTCCACAAGACTAAGTTTTTGAAGAGACCAATTTTCACTCCTAGCTTTTACACTCGCTCCACACTAACTATTTAGCGGGACTCAAACACGTACTAGCAGCTCTGTCTGTACCGGTGGTAGATTATTTCTCCTCTCTAGCATGTAGATTTACATTTTAGTTCTGTCTGCAGCATATTTAACAGAAGACCTAGAGGAAGGGTGCTTTTGGTGTATTTTTAGTTAGGGGCAACTGGCAGGAGGGCCAGGGCCCAGGTAGTTTATGTCGGGATCTTAGGAGCGTCGGCACGTCGGGTAGTTTTTCTAGACTGAGCTAACCGGCGTGTGGCCTTGGGAAACGTGTTGCGCGCTGGTACGACGTAAAATAATAAACAAACAAACAAACTGTAAAGCTGTGGATCCTGTGAGTGTAGACAAGACATCTATGAACATTCAGACCAACACAGAATCGTACAAATCTTTACTGAATCATTACGATCGATCGTAAAATCACACCGTAGTAATTCCAACACTGATCAGTAATTGTAATCAACACAATCACAAACAGATAGGCTTAACAACGAAGAGACACTCGGCTTTGCTTCTCGACTCAAGATTGGAGCTATTAAGCATTGAAGAGCTGTCCTAACACACTTCAGCAGAAGATTGAGTCTCCAGCCTTCAGAAGAAGATAATTCAATCAACTACGAAGAGCGTCATCCACGTAGAACAATCAAGTGCTATCTCGATCTCTTTATAGAGTGTAGCCGAGATCATTGCACATAACTTTACAACGCATAAACTTTTTTCCCCTTTAAATACATAATTACCAGCGACTTAAGTTCGAATTCTAATCCACCCTTCAAAATGTCACAACCAGGCATTTCAGAAACTTCGCGACCAGAGGTAGCATCGTCTGATAAACCTAAGAGCGCCAATGTGTTCCAGGAGACACGAGGGAGCATAAGAGAAGAGGAAGAAGAAGTGATACCAAGAGAAACACTACTCTAGGTGCTAGAAAATCTTGAATTACAGCCTCAAATTTCGATTCGGGCAGTTGACGCTCAGTACTGGGGCCAGTCAATCACAGAAATAAATAACACAAATGCAAAGCAGCTCACAACGTTCGCAGTAGAGTGTGCTATCAGCTACAAGACATCCATAATTGTCGATGATGAACCTATAGGTTCTTTCTGTGACGATTTCGACGGCTGGAACATTGAAATGTTCGACAAGATTCATCGAGATGTAAAACGTATGCTGAGAGTACTGCTACGAAGAGGAGGTGTCAATACAGGAAGTATTAGAGCTGAGATCGCACGCCAGTTAGCTGCAGTCCTTCAATTTGAAGAGCTACCCGAATGGAATGACAATGACCTTCTGACAACTGAACTTCTATCAAAGTCACGTTTCTATCAGAAAAAGTTACGGCTGCTCAACAGCACTGATACTCAAGCCGCACAGCCTCAGCCAACGACAACCCGCACACAACCAGATACCATACGCCACCCCCTAAGAGTTTCATACCAAACTCCAGCCACTCACAATGTAGTTTATGAACAGCCCGAGCTAACCTACATATCAGCTCGTGAAATTCATCAACCTCAACCTCAGCCGCAGCCAAGACTAAATCCATCCCGTTGTGGCGGCTAGTAAGCCGGTAGATTGCCTGTAGTCTGTGCTATTCATCACATGCATACTCATTACCTCAGCGCTAAGATACGCTGGTATTGAAAGTCTGGTACTGCCCGTGCACGAAACATCGTTGGTAACTAGCCCACACTTTAATAGTGGGAGCCGGACTAGAGGACAGAGACTAGTGTTTGAAATATTGGAATCATGTATATAAATAGGGCGTTGAGTGTAGCAGTAGTCTTGTTCTTCAGTTAGTAAATAAATTTACCTTTAGACATATGAACGCCCAAGCTTTATTTATCGGAACTGTTACACCCGTGCCAGCTCAGCTTACCCTCCCGCACCGCTCTATGAACAACCACCGGTCTTTCAAACCTACTAACATGACCCCTATGCTGACCTCCCCGCAATGTGCTAAACGAAAGGCTGGAACCATCATCAGTCATCAATTTTGCTAAGCAGTGGAATAAGAAGAACAATTTCCATGGCTTGATTTATGAAGTATTTGATGATAAGGTAGACCAGTTCCTAAGGGCATGTGAATCACTCGAGATCTGTCCATCGTAGTTTCATGCAGTTTTCGATCGAATGCTCGAGGATCGAGCACTGCTGTACTACAATCGTACTGTGAGCCGGCGAGACTCGTTTGCCGACGCCTATATCAGGATAAAAGCGCATTTCGACACGGACGCGAATCGCCAGGTCTATCTCCAAGAATGACAAACAGTAACGTTCGCTAGCGTGAAGAATGAGAATCCTAATAAGGGCCTGAGGCACGTCCTGGATATATTGTTTGATAAGCTAAGTATTTGCCAGAGGGCAATGGGCAACTCATATGAAGGTGACAACAAGCTCCGTGACCAGCTTTTTCGCGCTTGCAGACAATCAACCGAACTCGCACCAGCCATTGACAAGCCGGCAGGTGACCCTGAAGAACTGATGGCAAACCTAAGATCAATGATTATAAATCATACACTTGCATCACAGTTCGTTGTGGAGAGATCCTCTGCGCCGTCATCGGAGCAGTATTATCTCGAAAGACGTTACAACAACTCTCGCCCTCGAGACAAGAACCAGAGTTATGGTGACACCCGATTCAATTTCCAAAAGAAAGGTAAAAATTGGAAGAAGAAGTGCTATGTCTGCAGGAAAGAAGGATGTTGGTCAACAAAGCATACTGATGACGAACGGCGTCGAATGAGAAACCAATTCATAACACAATGTGAAGTTGACGGCATCATTCCTACCGCGCAGAGTATGGCAGTTTTTCTTGTTCAGTTTGAGGGTCAGGAGCCGACTGGTCAATACCTCACGGAAGTCATATTGACAAGTGATCATAGCGAAGCTGACGACGATGAGGGCTTTGAGGCACACACGTAAGAAACGCAATATGCAACTTAACTGACCAATCAAGCGTTTATACACAATGTGACTGGTCAGTGTCAGGGAATACATCTGGATCAACATCATCCCCTGCCAAATACTAGTATTAGCGTATAGCATATGTGTTGGTGGGCCATGTAATGGGTTGGTTACCACATAGGTTTAGTTCAGGGTTTATCTCATGTAACGTTGAGCTATTGTATGAGTTGGGAGGAAGCTCCAGTTCACTTTTACCTAGAGTATAACTAGTCGCTTTACTGCTGGTAGGATTGGGCATACGACGTTCTTGTATCTTAATTACCTGTTGGAGACTACTTACTTATTCGAGCTATCTGTATATCATAACTCCTACCCAGTGATATTACCTATCTGAGACGTCTCCCTTACAGTCAGGATGTCTATAACATGAGGCAAGACAACTTACCTTCACAGTTTCTCATTGAAGATCGCTACTCCAGAGTCACATTCCAAGGAATCCTGCCAGATACTGGAGCCGCCTATATGTCAACTGTGGGTAGAGAGCAGCTATTAGCTCTGCAATAAGAGAATCCAACTGTGGTGTTTGACACAAGTACAGCGGGCCAAGCGAACATCCAGATTGGCAAGGGTAAACCAATCCCTTCAATCGGCTCAGCAATCCTTGACACTCCAGTTGGCAAGATCACGTTTCATGTACTATACACACTCACACCGTTCCCTCTTTCTCTTAGGGATATGGACCGCCTTAAACTGTATCTCTACAACACACGCAACGAGATTGTTCAGAGAACAAGCAAAGGCCTGAACATAGTGCCTGTCGTAAGAGAATGGGGACATGCATGGTTCTTTCTGAACAAGATTGAAAATGCGACACTGTTCCTAACGAATTCCGAACTTCGCCGATTACACCGTCGATTTGGCCACCCT